TCCCCCTCTCCCTCTCTCTCTCTCTCTCACAACATGACTGAACTCAGAACAGACTCGTTCAAAGATAGAAAGACGGTGATGGTTTATTAAAATCACAAAAAACAGAATGCTACTAATACATGTAATTTGATTCAATACATTTGCCACAATGGCTCGATAATGTGTCACTTGAAACTTTTGCAACTGCAACTTTGAATAAGTGACGGTCATACGTTATGCCAAAATTATATTAAACAGTTTTTAAAAATGTTACCTAACACAGCCTATATTAGAAGTAACTCGAAAAAAGTTGAGCTAATATGGAGACATTCATTATTGTGTACAATTCAGAAATCTCTCTTCAAATTTACAACTATGTCAACTATACACTGCAATATTGATTCTGAAAGCTTAAGGCAAACACTCTAGATTCTTTCAAGTTATACTTACATAAATATAAAGTTTGCAATATCAGTTTGTATGTACACAGTGGTGGTTAAAAGTCAAGAGTTCATATGATAAGGTGGGTAGTATAAAGGAGATAGCTAGAACACAATTTAGAGATTAAATTTTTTTTAAGTGCAAAATAACGCTATAATCATGTGTAACATGTTATATGTTTTACTGGGCTTCCTATCAGACAAAAGATTTAAAACTGTTCTCTTAGAGACCAAAAATGTGGACATGGGATATTTTACACATTAGTTTCAAACTCCATATATGTCCTAGGACTTGGAGCTAACAAGTCCTGTTCTTCTGGGTCTGGAGCACGCGAGTCCTGTTCTTCTGGGTCTGGAGCACGCGAGTCCTGTTCTTCTGGGTCTGGAGCACGCGAGTCCTGTTCTTCTGGGTCTGGAGCACGCGAGTCCTGTTCTTCTGGTGACTTATCACAACAGCACGTAAAGGGAGGCCTTATCTTTCCTCTCAACACCATTAGGATAAATCCGAGCCCAGCAGAGACGACAGACCCGACAAGCACACCCACCAGGGCGGGAACATCGTACCAGTCCTGTCCCGCCTTCAGGGTGTACCACACCGTTACCATGGTGATGTTACCTAGCAACGTCAGCGCGGTGCTCAGCCAGAACGTCCGATTGTGGCCCATATAAGAGATGGTCATGCTGAAGGTATCCACGGCCATATGTAGAAGTGCAAATATCATATTTGGGCAGGTTCTACAGTTCCCATCAATACATATAAGAGTAACTGCCATTACCAGCCAGTGCACTACAATGGGCAGGGCGATCCATTGTTTAAAGGCAGAGGCGAACAGCCCTATAGCCAGTACACGCACACTGAGTTCTACCACTTTCCATACGGTGAGGAGGATGAGCCTTGTCACAAATCCACAGCTCCATGTCCTGTCTGATTTATTGATAACATAGTAAAAAAGTGTCACTACAGCCTTGACTGCTGCCAGCAGTGACGCCACCATGGAGATGACCTTCAGGACGCTGACCTGTTCACCTGTGAGGAGGAGGATGTAGAGCTGTAGGCACAGCTGAGGGACGCTCTCCAACATGGCTGCAAACAGGTGCATGCCGGGAAGTTCCCTACTGACATGTACTTCCACATCTTTGCCTTTCACTTAAAACAGATAAAGGATGTTGAGATATGCTGGAAACACACCCAATTGCAGGATAACAAGCAGGACCTTGAAACTTGTAACCAGTGTACTGTCTTTATCATTCGATGATAATGATAATGACCATATATTTATGATTATTGACGGCCCGAGCACAAACCCCAGTGTCAACCCGAACCAGGTAGAATCCCCGCTGTAGTAGTACTGAACCGCCAGCGCAAGGTCAGTGATAGTATCAAACAGATACAGGCCCAGCGGGAACAACACAAGGAATAGGATCTTCCTCGGCAAGGGGTTCCCGACTGACGAGAGACACGTTTGCTCTTGATGGTCTGTATCAGATGTTTCTGCCGTAGTCCCGGTCGCAACGGCGGCGGCCATCGTCCTCTGCTCCTGCCTCGAGCTCAAGTCGTAGGGCTGACACATCTTGACTACTGCAGCTCAGTGTGGGCCAGCACATCTGCGAAGAACATAAAGCGGCTATAAGTGATACAGAACAGAGCAGCCAGGCTTGCCCTGGGATACACAAGCAAGGACAGGTTGCTAGAGAAGCTGGGATGGCTACCAGTGAAGGACAGAGTTCACCAGAAAGGACTGAGAACTTTCCGTAGGATAATGAAAGAAAAACAACCCATATCATTGTATAAGAACATCACTATGCAGTCACATGGTTACCATACTAGAACATCAGACTCACAGACCATCCGCCTTCCTAACCTCGAACAAATGCACAGAAAAGAAGATTTTTGTATAGAATGTCCAGTGCCTGGAATGAAATGAAGTGGTGATGATGTACATGTATATAGCTTTATTTTAATCTGTTTTAATATGTTGTAATTGCCATGTATTTATGTTTTGTAAATATGTCATGTGTGTCTTGAAGGATCACAGGAAGAATAGCTACATTTGTTGTAAGCTAAATGTGGATCCCAATAAAGTCAAGTCAAGTCAAGTGCTCCCTACTGTAGTAATTAGATAGTAATGGAGCTGATAAGTCATGCCCGTAGCCAGCATTTTGAATGGGGGGGTTCGTCCCACTGCTTGAGGGGACCTCGAGCGCCGAAGGCGCGAGGTTCCTAGGGGGGTCCGTGGGCATGCTCCCCCGGAAAATTTTGAAAAATAAACCTTTTAAAATGGCATTTCGTGCATTTTTGAGAGGATTTCCAAGAAAAAATCAGAGATAGATTTTTATTCAATGACAAAGGGAGCAGTTTTTCTACGATTCCAGTCCATCTTTTCAAGAAAAATCTTGGACCTTTACATAAAATGTGGACCAAAAAGTGGACCTTTACATAAAATGTGGACCAAAAAGTGGACCTTTACATAAAATGTGGACCAAAAAGTGGAC